AAAGTCACAAAAAGAAGCAATCGGACTTTTGCAACTCCCAAACGAAACCCGAAAGGTACATTTTCCAATCCATGTATAGTCCTTTTCTTATGCTCTCTTGTTTGCCTAAATGTTGTCACCAAGTGAAAAATTATTTAACTATATGTACAAATCTCCCTTAAAAAAAAAAAGTTTTACTGATGTTAAATGTATTTCGGTGCCAAGGTCAGATTATGTGCCCCACAACTGACTTGTTGCAAATAGTAATAAAAATATTACTTTAACTTTACGCTGACTTTTCGTGAATGGTTCTTAAATTCAGGCAAGTAGATTCTTCCTGAATCTCAGAAGTAAAAATCTTTAGAAGAAACGGAAACGCCCGATGTAAAGTTAGTGTAAACGCAACACTCAGCCAAAGCCTTAGCTTGGCATATTCGAAACTTCCTTCTAGTTTTTATTAAAATAGTGCGTCTAAGAAAAAAGTAATCTTATCTATTCTGTAATTCGGCATGTGACAACATCTGCTCTATTTCTATGACTTTAAGCTTCCCCTCTAAATCTTGGGAACATGTGGAGCATCTCACAGCAGCTCCCCAGAATTGAGGCAGAATTAGAGCTTGCCATTTCCTACCCTCCACTCGTTAGCTTTGGGGTTTTCTTCTTACAGTTTTCTTTAGTGTTTGGGTTGCTTTTTCTCTCTCCCGCCCCTCTGCCCCACGGTAAATCTCAAGCACTTATATTTTGTTTTAAAAATCCATCTCTAATTTGCTTTCGCTTCCCAGAGCGAACACACTCTCTATCCATTTGACTTTGACACGAAGGAAGTATAGATCTATCCTGAATAATTAATGCACTTTACAGCAAGCGGTCGATATTTTTTTTAAACAAACATTTGTTTTCCCCAGATTTTTAAGTACAGCATAAAACCGCGTAGCCGGAGGAGTAGATAAACCGTAAGGCAAGCGGCCGACCCCCCCTCCCCGCCCGAGCCCCGAGTCCTCAGCTTCGTATTTCGTGCCGTAGCGATCTCGCTTTAAGTTTCCTGAGAACGCCTTAGAAATATTGGCAGGATATTTTTTTAACGGGAAGAGCATTTCTAAGCTTTATAAACGGCGGCATTACCCGCTCGAGCCGCCCGAAAGATTTCAACGCTGTCTCGGAGCATTTCGAGAAAGTTTCGTGTCCTTTTCGGGGGAGGGAGAGGAGGTAAAAATGCAAGTTCTTGCCCGGGAGGGAAGACTACTTCCGTTTCTTTGGGGACGGAGCCGGAAAGAAATAGCCATTTAAATTAGAGTCGCTTTTGTCTTTAAGTTCAAACCGAACAAGTCCGATAGCAGCCTGGGAAATAAACTTCCATCCAGG